TCATTTCATGTATGGTCTGTACATGGTAGAAATACTATATCAACTCTTCTCAACGTTGCCTTCAGTGAGGTGATGGTTGGGGCTTGAGATTGGCCATGGCTGGAACAGGTATTGAGTTAGTTTCTACCATAATGGATAACACGGGACCAGAAGAGAAGTAGAGGTCCACACCCCTTGAGAATTTACAATCTCACTGAAATGTCGTGAAAAACTAAATAAAATTGGTATGTGCAGGAGAGCTAGCACTGAACTCAAGTAGAAGACAGGAGAGCTGAATTCTGTTCTCAGTTCTGAAATTAGCAGTGGGGCTGTGGTCAAGTCTTTTTGTCTCTGGGTCCCAGGGTTTTCCATCTGTAAAATCCCCCAGGACTCCAAGCTGCAGAAGAGCAGAAACTGTACCTACGGATCCCCACTACATCCCAGCCCTCTGGCAGAGTTCCAGACACATGACAGGTGATGCAGCAACACTTAAGTAAATGAGTGGCCAGGAGCTGTCTCTACCCACTCTTCCAGCTCTGAAAATATGGAGGTCCATGATCCAAACTGAGGTTAAAAGAAGAGACACAGAACTGAGTGCCAGGGATGGCGGGCTCAGGCCAGCTTCCTCAGATTCCTCAAGGGGTGGTGGCAGGTGAGGGGTCATGCTGGACTCAGCAAAGTTGGGTGAGCTGACTCAGAGAAAGCTGATTCCAGGATCGCAGTGATAATTTCGCTGAAGCACTGGTCAGAATAGAGAAAGGACATACCTTTTTTTTTTTTTGAACTGTAAGAAAGTATTTTTAATATGTGTATCTGACAAAGGACTGGTATCATGGATGCTTTTTTTTTTAATTGTATGATTCCTTTTTTTTTTTTTTTTGGTTAAACCCTTTTTTATTGAAGTATAGTTGATTTACAAAGTTGTGCTAGTTTCAGATGTACAGCAAAGTGAGGACATTCTTTTAGGTTTATCTTTGCCATCTGGTACCTGACTTCATGCTTTGGTTCAAACTACCTTTAATACCGCCTGAAGGGTTAGAAAAATCCCAGCAAAACTGAAGCATTTCCCCACTCTCTGCTAACACATCCAATTCTCTGGGGAGCACAGTCCCTTCCAAGATCTCCCGCTGATAATCCCAGAAACATTTACAGCAATTGCCTGGATATATTTCCTTCCTTTCTTTGGCTAATAGACAGTTTTACCACTTACAAAAGCTACAGATGGAATGCAGACGTGCCTGTTTACTTTTCCTTGTTATGGCTCGATTCTGATTTTGAAGGGTGAAAAGTTGCCTTTCTGAGAACATTCAAATTTAGAGTAAATTTCAGAAGGGAAGGCAGGTTCTCTCAGCTATTGGAGGTGCAGAAACACAACAGCCTATTAGTCTGTTCCAACTAAGATATTCTACGTCCTTACACCCCCCAACCCACCCTGTCCCACCAATAGCTGTTCATAGCTTCTGCTTCAGAGATGATGAAAAAGTCAGGTCATCACCACCTTGCAGGTCGTTAACATTCTAAAATGTTAAAAATGTCATAATTCTCTCTCTCTCTCTCTCTCTCTCTCTCTCTCTCTCTCTCTCTCTCTCGGAGAGAGGTCAAGGGTGATAGTTACCAGGTAAGAGTTCTGAATGAGAAAATTATTACTTATTATTGAGTTTTTAAAACAAGTTTGGATTGACTGAAAGGCCTAGGCTCTTTCATGTGGAAAGACAAAAATTGAGATGTATGACCATGGTCTCTCCAATGATGAAGGGTGTGCAGGGAGTGAAGATAAATTTGTTCCTTGAATCCTGACATCCCAGAACTAAGAAGATACAGTAAGAATCAAAGGCAATGGTAGCTTACAAATCCATTTAGAGCTGCCTGGAGTGCTGGAGGGGACCTTGGCAATCTGATCCCAGAAGTTGCTGTGGCCCGGGGAGGCCTAACTGAATTAAAATTTCCTCTCTGCCAGTTGAAACATCTTGGGCAATTTAGCCTCTTTTGAGTCTCCGTTTCCTCCAGCGTAAAATGAAGAAGGTGGTACCCATGTGAAAGGATTGCCAAAAGGATTCTTCATTACCACCTAAGAAGTAGTTCTGGTGAAAAGTCTATATATCTGGGGGTGAGAGATGGAGGGAGTTTAGTTAGATGTGTAAACGGTACATGCAGTTTTGAGTTTCTCCAAGTTTCAGCTCTGGGTTGCGGTTCCCACTCCTGAAGTTGGACCCTGGAAGGGGAAGCACGCCCTTAGCCAGTGTCAGGGATGGGAAGGGACCGCCCCATGACTGGGTGTGACTCGACTGAGCCCCTTCAGGGCTCTGCAGAGCTTCCTGTTCCTCTTTCCCTCATTAATACGCACTTCCCGGGGCCTGATGAGGTGCCTGAATAGCAAATAGACTCTATTAATTTGAGCTAAAATGTTAATGGGTAGTAGTGACTTTTCATTTGCTGCCACTCCCATAAACTCCTATATTTTAACCGACACATTCAATGACTTAGCTTAAAGAAATGATTACTGTGGGACCTTCCAGTTTCTTGGACAAACCAAGGCAGGAAAAAGTCACGCTTAAACAGAGGGGTCAGAAGGAGAGGAGGGGTCAGGATGGCCAAGCCAAGCGTGGGCCCACACGGCAGGTTACCCAGCATCAGCAGACGTGACACCTTTGATCCAATCATTCTTCCTCTTTCCAGATGCCAGGAACAAACTCAGTTTTTGGAGACAGCTGCAAGGGGTGGTGAATGTACACAGATCACTGTAAGAGTAGCTGGCCCACACAGACTCAAGCCCAAGTGCTTAGGGACAGCATTCCACAATCAACTATCACAAGGGTTCCCTATTATTCTCCGAGTAAAATCCCATCTCGATGACTCTCAGTGCAAGGACAGCCTCCACGTTACAAAGCTCGTGCTACTTCCCAGCAGATGTACTTGAGGGATGTTGCTCTTTGGGTCTGGTTACAAGGATTTCTCTATAAGGGATGGAACTATTCACCAAGTTTCTACTCCTCCTGGCCACTTATAATGACTCCTCAAGTGAGTCCAAAGAAGGAAGCCTCTGAGGCTGGGATGATAACATGGGTCACCTAATAGGAAGTGGAAATAGACTCTATTGTAGCAATGCTTATAGCAGCGATGTTTACCTGACCTGGGATAAATTTAGGATCATGGCAATCTCTCCACGATGTTCCGCATAGTAAGGGTGTAGTTGGTAGAGAAGCAGAGAGCTGGGGAGAGAGAGGCCAGCCAGTTCCTTCTTGCTTTTGCGGGTGATCTTATTAATCAATTATAAGCTATTCAAGAGGCCATAGCTGTATTGTAGCTCACAGCCCCTACCACAACTACAAATTTCCAGGTCTGTCTTCCTCGTGAACCATGAACCACTAGAGGGCAGGAAACATGTGCCTCTCTCTTCTTATGCTATCTCTAGCCCCTAGCACAGAGCCTGGCACAGAGTAGGTGCTCAATAAATACGGCCAAGTGACGGAGTGAATGGATGAGTGATTGAAATGTTAGGCAGCATAACAGCTGTATCCTGTTCTGTCCTCTCCCTATCCCACAATCCCAACCATTCATCTCAGAAAAACAAGGCAAAATGATAACAAATACAACTCCTACACACAAAGAGGCAGAAGAAGGCAAAGAGGCAGAGCACAGCCAGTGCTTTGGAGGGGAAATCAAAAAGGCCCTCTTACCAACCCAGAGTTCTTCTGAAGGGGCTTAGACACTGCCAGCTCCTCTCCAAGCCCCTCTGGGACCTGGCTCTGTATGGGTGGCCCCGGGGGCACAGCCAATCTGCTTCTCCCACTCATTCACCAGGGCTTTCCAGAGAGGACATTCCATGTAGCTTCTCACTTTCATAACCAGCTTGTCATTTCTGGGAAGTTTCCTGATTTCAGGATTGTTACAATTAGTGCAAGAAAAAGAAAATTTGGGCAATTATCTAATTCCAGTAAAACTTAATGGGGCCCTTCCCACCCCAGGCTAATGGTTGGTGCAAAATGTAATTTAAGTTAAGCTGTCTAAGGTTGGGGAAGCATAAAATATTCAGCACGGGGGGCATTACCCCTTGTGGGAGCCATATTTTCTAGCAGACCTTTAGACCAAGATAAGACTCCGGGGCGGGGATTATTGATTTTGCCAGGAGAGGGCAAGAGCTGGTAGGTGAAGCCCAGCTCAGAATTAGCACCGCGAGGGTCCAGGCAGGGCGGGCACTGAGCCTGCCATTGTGGGTAGAGCAGTCACTCCAGCAGGAGCCAGGGTTCTAGGCAAGGCTGCAAAAGCTCAGTCCACTCAGGGGACTCTCTGGACCCGGTCTCCTTGGGTCTATCAGTGGAGACCAAGATGACCGCCTGAAGGCGGTGGTTTCTCGGCGGTCGAGCACCTCGCCCACAAATTGCAATCTGCATCTCTGCCGAAGTTGGCTTGTCCTGGATATTTCTTCTCCCCTCCCCTTCCTCCACCACCTCTCCTAATTCGTCAACTGCTGAAACATCTGCCTGGCTGAAACGGCCTCCTCGTCGCGCGCGGGGGCTGTCCCCAGGTGTTAGTCTTTGTGTCGGTAAAACTTTGTGAGAAACCGAGGGCGCTGGACAAAGAGCGAGCGAGGGAGGGCGTTTGCCAGCCGGCGGGGTACGCCGGGCGGTGCGCGTTCTTCCCTGGGCTCAGCTCTGTACGCGGACGCACCCGGTGCCCCGAGCCCAGCCTCCTTAAGCGGGGAGTGGCAGGCTCCGGCCACATCCCAGCGCCCTCGGGAGCTGAAAGAAGCCAGGCGGGAGAAGCAAAGGCGGGAGGCTGGACACTGGAGTTGACTGGGGTGGGAGGAGGAGGGCAGAGGAGCTGAGCGAAGCTGTCAAACTGCGCGCGGAGCCCCGCGCGGGGCGGGGGAAGGGAGGGGAGGGGAGTAGAGAGGAGGGGCGGACGGGAGCTGAGAGGGAGCGAGCCGGCTCGCCGCGCCTGAGCAACCCTTGTCTGCCGCTGTCGCCACCGCCGCCGCCGCCGGCCCGGACTCGCCCGGAGCGCAGGGTGTCTGCCCCGCTGGGCGCCGCGCGCGGAGGCTCCCGCGCCTGCCGCTGCGCCCTCCAGCCCCAGCTCCTTGCGCCGGCCCGCGTGGGTCCCGGTGGGCGCGAACCCACCATGCAGCTGCAGTTCCGGAGCTGGATGCTGGCTGCGCTCACGCTGCTCGTGGTCTTCCTCATCTTCGCAGACATCTCGGAGATCGAAGAAGAAATCGGGTAAATAGCTGCGCCTGGGCCCGTGCCGAGCCCTGGCGGGATCTCTTACCACCCCGGTACTCCGCATCCTCCCTCACGCCCGCTTTGTGTGCGCCGCGCCCCCCTGTCGCTCCGCTGGAGAGCCGGGGGACGATTTTGGCCGGGGGTAGCTGTGCAGGGAGCCCAGGACTGTTTGGGGAGCGGAGGGTGGGGGCGCGGCTGCCACTGGGAGTCCCCGGGCAGGGAGCACTGCCAGCCTCCAGCTGGACCGCGTCGGGGAGCGGACTCGCCCACCCTGCCTCCTTGCCTCTGCATGTCCGCGCGCGTTGTCGCCGGGGTCGAGGGAGGGCGCCCGGGAGTGTCTGGGGCGGGCGGAGGGGCCGAGAGTGGAGGAGGCAGGAGTTTCTTTGTCTCCTGCTCGGCCGCTTTCTCGCCTGAGCAAAGTGGGCAGGGGGCGCGCGGGGATCTCTGTGCTGGGGGAGGGGATTCCCGGGCCGGGGCGGAGGGCGGGGTTCTTCACGGGCTCCCGGGAAGGCGAGTGTCCCCAGTACCTACAGACACGCACACGCGCCTCCCGCCGGCCCGGGAGCCCAGCACAGGGGTGTGGGCTGACACCGCTAGAGGCGGAGCGCGCGGGGGTTAGCTGAGATCCCTTCCCCACCCTCACCTGGCTTTGGGCGCTCAGCTAATCCCGCGGCTCCCCCTGTGCCCCCGGGTTCCTGTGCGCTCGCAGCGCCGCGATGGAGACCTTTCGGGAAAGTCTGTACCACCGCCCTCTCGTCTTCGGGGGCTGGGGAGGAGGATGCCTAGCACGCGGTCTAGCCCTCGCTTTTCTCCCGATCTCTCCGGGGGGAGCAGGGGGACCGCGAGCCCCTGCCCTGCCGCCGGACTTCCAAGAGTGCGCGCCTGCGGCGCGGGACGCACCTGCTGTGGGTCCTGGAGGCTGAGAGTCGCGCCCCGCCCCTGGGCCGGCCCCTCTCCGCTTCGCCGCTACAAAGAGCCACCAACCCGCTATAGGCAGGAGGGGGAGTGTGCAGCCAGGGTTCTGAGGGGCCCTTTGGAGAGCCTCCTGGCCCTGGGCAGAGAGAAAGTGAGGTCGCAGAGTGGGCAGAAAGTCCCTTCCTCCGTGGGGCTAGTCCCGCACCGCGTGCGCCCCTCCTTTGTCCCATCTGTTATTTCATTCACTATCAGCGCTAGTTGAGGGCTCGCTAAGCTGACAGATCCCTCAAAAGGGAAAGGCCAGTCCTGGTCCAGGATGCCAAGGCCCTAAGGACTCAAACCTGGGGCAGGCGCCACTACCTGCTCTTTCCTTTTCTCCTTGCCCCTTCCCATCTTGGCCACCGCAGAATTCCTTCTGTGAACTCCAGCGCTCTTCAAGTACCAAACGTTTCTCTGCCTCTCCCTCCTCCTCATTCTCGGTTTCCCCAAGAGCTCAGAAAACTTTCACAAATAGTGTTCAGTTAATACACGACATGCTCCCACGCGGAGATAGAGAAACGCTACGTTCTGTAGCTGTTCGCCTCAAAAACGTGGATCGGAAAGGAAATCAGGCAAGACAAGTCTTGAGGTGATGGAGGACGCGGTGGGGAGGGTCTTCCTCTCGGCTCCCACACTCTTCTCCCAGATGTGGGCTCTGCCTGGCCCAGACCCCTTGCTGACCTTGACATGTGAGGGAAGGACCAGCAGCTGCCCATTGTTCTGCTATGAAAACGTAAGAGCTGCACCCATTCAGGCATCCCTCCTTGTCCATTCACTGAACTTTTACCGAATGTCTTCTATAGGCCAGTGACTTTTAAGTTTTCAAATGCAATCAACAAATCACTTTGCACATAATGCTACCCTTCCCTGCCAAATGTGTTGTAACGCCCCTACTCCCCACGTTAGGTTGTTCTAACGGTATCCAGAAATAAGCTGCAAGACCTGAGCTAAGAAGGGCATTTACATATATATTTAAATCCCAGGGCTCTTGTGCTATGGCTGTGTTTCATTGTTGGGGGGGGGGGGTCCTGCTTGGGCCCACACTGGGGAAAATTGTCTAACAATTTTGTGTCATCTGGTGTGATGTTATCCCCCCTTCTGGTGCCCCTGTCCGCAGGCTGACCCCTGACTTGACCAGTCCTGACCCAGGCCTGAGACCCCTCTCCCGCAGCCCCTCCTCCAGTCCCACCCCCCAGTCTTCCCCACACACTGTTAACTCATCTGGGATTTGCCATAACTGGGGGAGGAAGGACATGAAACAGAGGACCAGCATCCCTGCAGCCCCCTATATCTGTTTTTCAAGCCAAGTTTCAAGCTCAGTCACTTATTTAATCCTTGGAAGCACCCCAACTTTGAGCAGCCAGCGGGGGCTCAGTGCCCTAGTACAGTGGCCAGTGAGGCGGCGCCAGGAGCAGGACTCATCTTCCTCACCCTATGCTTTGCCTTTCCGGGAGACCTGGGATCATCCTCGAGACCACGGTGCTATTGCACCAGCCCTGCCCACCCTTCCCCTACTTGATATTGACCTGTGCTAGGGAAGATTACAAATTACCTGCCAGTACCACTCCCTGGGAGAAGACAGTTCTGTGAAAGGATGGCTGTTTCTGGAAGGCAATGGTGGCACCCTGTGATCTTTTAGGAAGGAAAGAAGGAAGGAAGGAAGGAAGGAAGGAAAGAAGGAAGGAAGGAAGGAAAGAAGGAAAAATCTCTTCTTGAAGTAAATTTTCCAAGGATTAACACATGAGAAGTAAAAGAGGAAAGACAACTTCATGTGTATCGTCTAGAGGAACAAAACTGAGATATATTTTTGCTAAACTCTTGATTCCTTTTATTATAAAATAAGGCTTTTGCTGTGGTGATCTCAGAAGTTCTGTCCTGCCCAAGGAATCATATAACGGGTTATGAAGGGCAGGGGTTTTCTTCCAGGGCCTATTTCCCTAGAGACACGTCTCTTCCTAAGTGATGATTTTCAAAGTTCTGTTTCTAAATTGCTTGCTTGGGGAAATGTCTCCCTAGGGCTGAATGAGGAAAAAAAAAATGTAAAATGCTCTTCAAAGCATTCAAAGAGTGAATTCAAATTCTAAATCAGAGATTGGGTGAAGCTTTGGTAAAACAGCCCCCATCAACTCATGCAGCACCCCAAATTTAGAGTCCGTTGGACCAAGTCGTAAGCTAAAACTCTTTTTCTGATTATCCCCTGGGCTTTAGTCTTGAGTGTAACCTTCAAGAGAGAGTTATGGGCATGGCTGTCTTGCCCACCGTGATGCCTTCAGAACCTGACACACAGAAGGCATTCAGTAAACATCTACTGAATAAATATCTTTCTGGGGTCTGGCCCAGTGATGGGCATACACGACATCCTTAGGGAAGGCTGACACTCACAGAGCCTTAGGGTGAGAAAGGAGTGCAGGGCCCCCCCCCTAAGAAACCTCCTCTCTTTTTACAATTAGGATAAATTTGACCCTGAGAAGTAGCATCTCTTATCCAAGATCACACCCTGGCTGGTTAGGGACAGGGCAAGCCTGCACAGGTCTCCTCACTTATAACCCAATGCCCTAGTCCCCAAATGAGGTCTCTAATCGTAAAACAGTTACAGAACTCTTGTTAAAGAGGATGTAGCTAGTAATAACAGAAATCATGGCAATGGTGAAGGTGAAGATGATGGTGGTCATTAACATTCATTTATTTATTGAGTGCTTGCTATGAACCAAGAGCTATTCCAAGTGCTTTATAGACGCTAACACATGTCATCCTCCTGGCAACCCAATGGTCACCTACTAGTGGTGCCAAAAGCTACTATTTGTTGAGCACAAATACTGCCAGACACCGTGCTTACTGCTTTAAAGCACTAGCTCACTCAGTCCTCACCAAACCTCTTGAAGCTAGGTAGGGTGGCTATCTTTAGTTCATCAGTGAGGAAACTGAGGCTCAGAGAGGTTGTATAACTTGCTTGTGATAAAGCAAAAGACCCTAATTCTAGGAGAAGCCAAAGCCCCTGTCTTGACTGCCGTGCTAGACTGCCCTGTCCTACGAATTCTTTGCCCCCTGCAGTAACATTACATAATAGGTCTCAGAACTAGCCTTCCTAACTCATCCCCCCGCATCCTTTCAAAGGCCCAGTTTTCCTAAGAGCCTGGTCTGACTTAGTAGTTACCTGCTCCCTTGCCCTCAGCGGTTTAGAAGGAGGGAAGTTGAGTAATGAGGATTGGAGAAGGACCCGGGGCTCGTCTCCCCAAAGTGCCCCTCTGGTCCAGTCAAAGTTCAGTGTGATGCTATACCCTGGTTTGCCAGACAAGCTCACTGGCCATGGGCCTGAGCATCCCAGACTTATAGGTGGGGCCTTGGGCTAACGCTTCTGAAGGAGAGAAAACTCCCATTCCATTGCAGCCCTGATTCTGATGTCAGTAGAATGCGCCTTCCTCACTTCTACACACCACAAGATTGGGCATCCAGGAACCTGGACTAGGTGATAGTTAAAGATGCTTAACAACTGGTCCCTCTCGGGCACTGACCTGTGAGAATGGACATCTGACTGGTCAGAACTGATGCCGTCCAGTACACCATGATCAGGGTCCTGGTGCCCCCCAAACATCAGACACTGTCTGGGAAGGTAATAGACAAGGAAGGACTAGCTCTGACCCTCAGATCCGTGGGCTGGTAACTACTGCCATCAGCTGAGAATGAGGTGAGGTGCACCTTTTAGTGGATGAGTCCAGGTGGATGAGAAAGGAAATGACCTTGGGCAGTTGCAGTCCAGGCACATATTTGCACAAGGCCGTGCAACATTTTTTTAAAGCCCACTCTTCGCCCCAGTCCTCATGTACTTCACTCAAGTATAAACATGATTGGAGGATAAAATAGGACAGAAAGAAAGTCTGGTGTTTAACTGACTTGCTCCAAGCCCTTGTTGCCAACTGTTCCTAGCATCAAATTTAAATTGCAAATACATATCCATCTTAGAAACCAATTCACCACTCAGGGCCTCTTTCCCCTTGTAAAGCGGGGTTGCTGGATTTGAAAATTGCTTAGGTTTTACAAATTGG